GCCGTAGCTGCATTTACGCCGCCGTCTGACAAAAAGGCCGTGAGAAGATTTCTCGGACTCTGTGCCTACTACAGGCGCTTTGTTCGAGACTTCGCCAAGCTATCCGCACCGCTGACACACCTCACGAAGGACGCCGTAAAGTTCGAGTGGACAGAAGAACACCAGAGGTCATTTGACGAGCTGAAACGAAGACTCCAGACGCCCCCGATTCTTGGCCATTTCGACCAGTTTGCTGAAACCGAGATCCACACCGACGCCAGTAACACCGGACTGGGTGCGGTACTAGTCCAAGTGCAGGACGGAGCAGAGCGAGTTATCGCATACGCAAGTCGGACGCTGTCTAACGCGGAGAGGAACTATTCAACGACTAAAAAAGAGTGCCTCGCTGTCGTATGGACAATAACAAAGTTTCGCCCATATTTGTATGGAAGTTCTTTTCGCGTGGTCACGGACCACCACTCGCTCTCCTGGCTGGCGAATCTGAAGGACCCCTCCGGACGCCTCGCTCGGTGGAGCCTACGACTGCAGGAGTTCGACATGAACGTGGTGTGCAAGTCCGGCCGGAAGCACAATGACGCCGACAGCCTGTCACGGGCCCCAGTCGAGGCCGGCCTTGCCTGCACCAAAGAGGACGAGGGTGAGTGTTTCCTCGGCGCTCTGGATGTCAGCGACATGGCAGCACTCCAACGAGACGACCCTGAGCTGCGAGCACTCATCGAGCACCTAGAGGGACAAACAAGCGCCGTTCCCCGCGGTTTTGTACGAACACTTCCAACGTTCTCCATCCGACAAGGCGTGCTGTACAAGGAGAACTTCAGCGACAACAACACGGCGTTGCTGTTGGTGATCCCTTCCAGTCTTCGAGAAGAAATTTTTCAAGCTTGCCACGATGACCCGACGGCGGGACACCTTGGTTACAGCAGGACTCTTGCAAGGATACGCGAAAAGTACTACTGGCCCAAGCTTGCGAAGACAGTACACCACTACACCCGATCTTGCCACGAGTGTCAACGACGGAAGAAGCCACCGACGAGACCGGCAGGACATCTTCAGCCTATTGCGCCGCCATCTGCCCCATTCCAGCAAATCGGTATGGATTTACTCGGACCTTTCCCACCGTCGACGCAAGGAAACCGATGGAAAATCGTCGCAACCGATTATCTCACGCGGTACGCCGAGACAAAAGCCCTTCCAGTAGGAAAGGCTGTTGAAGTCGCCAAGTTTTTCATCGAGTCCATCGTCCTCCGGCACGGCGCTCCCGAAGTCCTGGTCCCAGACCGTGGATCATCATTCATGGCCCAGCTGACGCAAGAAGTCCTTCGTCTCAGCCACACCAGCCATCGTCGCACCACGGCGTACCACCCGCAGACCAACGGGCTAACGGAGAGACTCAACAAAACCATCGCCGACATGATCTCCATGTACGTCGACGTGGAGCACAAGACATGGGACGAGGTGTTGCAGTACGTGACATTTGCCTACAACACGGCCGTACAAGAGACCACCGGAGTGACACCCTTTCAACTGGTGCATGGGTGCAAGGTAACGACAATGCTGGACGCTATGTTACCCCACGAACCGGCTGTCGACGCAAGCGACGACGCCCAGGTGGTTGCCCAAAGGGCAGAAGAAGTCCGTCCGCTCGCCACACTCCGTATTAAGGCTCAACAACCCGTCGACACTGGCCGCTACAACCTTCGTTGTCGGGACGTCCACTTCCAGCCCGGAGACGGGGTGTGGGTGTGGACACCGATTCGCCGCTGCGGTCTCAGCGAGAAACCCCTGAAACGTTACTTTGGACCCTACAAAGTGCTTCGTCGACTCGAGGATCTGAACTACGAGGTGATGCCCGACGGAACACGGACTTCGTCACGCCGCCCTCCACGACCGGAAGTCGTCCACGTCGTGCGACTGAAGCCGTACTACGCTCGATAGGACTGTGGACCTTATGTGTTCCAAATGACTTTTTGTTTCCCGCTCTTTTTATTTGTTTTGTTTTGTTTTTGGGCTGCATCGGGGTGATGCCCTTTTTAAAGGGGGCTTGGCCAGCCGCGCGCGCAGCTGGCCAAGTAGGCAGCGCGCGCGTGGCCTAACGGTTATCGATCTTGCTTTCCACCCTGAAAGCCAGGGTTCGATCAGAATTAATTGGGGGGCTAGTTGGTTGAACATCTAGACGGTGGTTTTAAAAGCGAAAAGGACTAAGAAGAGAAGGAGGGGACAGGACAGAGCGCTTTGTCCTGTCCCCCCCTTCTCTTCTTAGTCCTTTGCGCTTTTAAAACCACCGTCCAGGGTTCGATTCCTGGCCGCGGAGGCTCATTTTTGTTGACTCTGTAAAGTAATGTTCTGGTAAATTCGAGAACTATGTTGGAGGCTTGTTCGAGGTCAGAATGTTCTACACGCCGAACCTTCTACGCCGATAATTCCAGAAGCCCACACGTGTACATGGGGCTCCGCGTGGCGATCTGCATTCAGTCTCGCCCCAGCGCTCGATCCTGCGGTTTCGCCGACTTGGACGCCCGCGACGCTCTGTTATTATCCTTTGTACCACTTTTATTTTTGGCACAAGTTCGCCACATTAAACGTTTATTTCTTTCTGTTTATTTATTATTTTTTGGTCACCACCCGTGACAATATGACGTCACTCGATTGAGAATTGTTCTGACAGAATCAAAGCCCTTCCGCACAATGCTGTTCTGCGGACGCACCGGGCCCTTGAAAAAGAGTCCAGCAAAAACAAAAGCTCTCAGCTTACATCAGAACAATCGTATTTATTCAACAAAATGCGCTGTTTGGCTTGACTTCAGCGTTAGAACACTTTTTTTCTTCTTCTCGCAACAACAACGCACATCTTGGACAATCACATTGAAAGCAAACAATAAAAATGTGTGTAATATTTGTGAACATTAAACATAACCCATACGCAAGTAACTTGAACACGTCTCGATCGATTACTTTAGATCACAATCACAATTCGTAGACCATACGTCCACTTAAGTTGTCTTTTTTTATTCATATAAGGACGACACCAAGCGGCGAAAGCTCGAAGTACGTTTGGTGTCCCTGAATGGGAGTAGCGCTACCCCTCCTGCTTTCTCCGCGACTTGAGCCACGAAGGAGGCCAAGGAGAGGTGGCGCAACTCCCCTTTCGGATGCCAAGCGTAGTTTGAGCTTTCGCCGTTGCGTAGGGAGGAACTGCACATGCGGGCAGAACTCTTCTTGAGAAAAGGTCCATTGGGTCCTCAATTGCCAGCACTTCAACAGCCGTGTACACCAGCTCAACTGTGAATAGAGTGTCATATTACGTGGCAGTATAAGCACAAGGATAATGCGTTGATATTACTCATCTCACTTTGTAGAAAGTTCGCCTTAAGTCCAGCATATATTCATATAAAATGGAGCTCGCAGCTAGATTCATTCAGCAACAATCCTTTTGAAGAGGTAATTCTCGATGAGACTTGTAAGCTCGAATTCAGACGAACGGATAATTTCTCTCTCTCTCTCTCTCTCTCTCTCTCTCTCTCTATATATATATATATATATATATATATATATATATATATATATATATATATGTGTCTTCCAAGACTGTCTCAGTTGAAGCACACTTTAATGTAATCACTGCTATTAAGCTCTTAATACCTGAAGTTGTATTTTGAAGATCTCGGAGAATCGGCGGTTATTCATTGAATATAGCGATAGGCGCCTTATTTTTATAGCAAGCCGCAGAGAAACGGTGGCTAATTTCAGCTAATAATAGGACTTCAACAACAAATATTCTTGTCAGTTCTCAGCCACGCCTTAAAGAAAAAAAAAAGAAGATATTTAAAGTGGTCCATGAAAAATTAAGGTAGCGATGCATTCAATATTTGTTATTTGATGTTCTTCTGAGAGTAGTTGATTGAGAATGACTAGCAAACACTTTGTTTCCACAACATATGAGTTCTGATGTCGCGTAGCAGGTAGGATTAACAATACATCGTCAATATGTCCGTCGTCCACCAGAAGGTGCTGAGACGACATGCGTGTACAAATGACACCATTGCCATCGTTCTAGGTAATATGCGAGTATACATTCGACACACTTTGAAACAGGCTCATCGCTGATTTTCTCTACCTTTCCCTCCCTTACACCGCTCTCGTTCCGCAGAACAAATATGACCAGAAATCATTGAATTTGTTACCAGCGGTATCACTTCAGTGCACAAGTAGTGTAGCACTTAAAGTGATTTCGACGTCATTCATTTCAGGCGCTAACTTGATCTACGCCCCTCAAGAATTAAAAAAAAGATCGTTAACAAGCACCTTGATGTCATCTAAAGAACGAAATAAAAAATAATCAAAATATTTTATTATATGAGGATCTTTTACTTCAAAAGGAGACCATAAGTGGGGCCGTATAAACTTTTAAAATGGCAATGAAACGCCGTCTAATTATAAAATTAGGGAGCTTTAATAACATACTTCAAAGTCTTGCTAAATTGTAAATTTAAATTCAGTTTAAAGCTGTCTATTTCTACAGCGGCTGTTGGGCATCTTAGGGTAGTATTTGAGGTCCCCCCCCCCCCCCCCCCCTATACGTTCCGTAATATACATAAACAATTTTGCATACCCTGTTTCTTTATATATATACCTCTAAGTTGTTGAATATATAATTACCGATGTATTATGAACTCCCTTTGCTTGTTTCTGCGTAGTACAGTATTGGCAAGAGTTATGTCTGGTGCCAAACATAGAAAAGAAATATAAACACTTCAAAAACAAAAGGGGTAATGCTGTTTAGCCGTAAATCTGCGCCCGAGACTTGTCTGCTTTCATTTAAAATATGAGAACAGAATTTTTTAATTTTAGTAAAATGTTTTAAACAACAAACTTGAATTCTTTTCTAAATGATATGTCTCGTTTCATTTATCAAAATTGCCATCCTTCGCAAGTAATTTGCCGCATAAATATATCATGTAACCTCTCTGCTTTGTCGACGCCTAAAGCTGTCTGGTTTTCGCTTCTAATTAACAATTGCTTTAGCTTGCCTCAACTTAGCTATATTTACTTTTATTTTAATTTTCCTTCTGATTTCATATATTTCAACAGTGTAATGATATCTTCAAAACTTAATATTAAAATTATGATCTAACTGAATCTATTTTCTCCACTCCCCCTGCATATCACAAGTACGGAACTTGTCGACCCCATTGCCGCTGACAATAATCTTCTTTCGGCGCTTTTCAAGTACAAAACCTTTTTTTTTTTTAGAATTTACTTTAATTTGTTTCAAATGCTGGTTTATTTTAAGAGTTTTAGTTTCCAATCTAAATTATTCGTTACTCCCTCATCATTTAATATTTAATACATCGCACTAATGTTCATGAGAATGAAAAAAACTTGAGCTTGAACTTATGAGTGCGACTCTAAGTCTGCTCTAATCTTGCGGACGGAAGAGCCACTGTTGATCATTTGCTCGAAACTCGTAACCACGCGCGAAAAAAGAAAGATTACTCTCAACTCATACACAAATTCTTTCCTTCTAATTCTGACCTCCTACCCTGCACTTAATAATAGCTCTTTGATGGTAACCTTTATCAATACTCGGAACGCGCGCAACGTCATTCTGCTGTGTTCGAAATGCTTTAAAGTCCATAGATCAAGTTGGGGCCATAAAAGTACAAAGTCGAAGCCCACTTTTGTGCATCTTTAAACACAGGAGGGCCAAATTGTGGAATTTTTCTTTCTGCGGTATCTTTTTCAATTGTAATACTGCTCTTCACCTTTTAAAAATATACTGTTTCTAAGGTTAACACTAGGGTAAGCTATTTTTTCCCGACCTGGCATGACGTGAACATGAATGGTCACATTCCGCTCTAGACAGAAGATATCATGCGACAGGGAAATCACATTTGTACTTGGTCTCAAGTGGCGTCAAGTCTTGCTGGGCTCATTGACACATCGGTGATGATCTACTCAACGGGACCTATTGGACGCAGTATGATGAATGGGGTAATTAATTAATACAGTCATGCCTCGTTAATATGAACATTCCCCTTCTCCCCTAGATTCGTTCATAATACACATAAAAATACATGTATTTGCGCAGAGTGTTCCCGAACATTTTGTTTATATAACTGGATGTTCACATTAACGGGATCCATATTAATGAGACTTGGCTGTACACACTTCGGACAAATTGATCGTTTGGGTTTTGCAGAGTTGAACGATAATAAACGTTTTACAATATCGCTTCGTAAAAGAACATCTGTGGAGTGCATAATACTAATGAAAAAAGAAGTAAAAAAAAAAACCTTCATGTACAAACTTTACTTTCACAGAACATTCTGACCCATGTTCAACAATATTCAACTTAAAGTATACCAAATATGTACCCTCCTGACACAGAAAAGTACACAGTGAAAGTTTATTCATAGCATGCTTTCGGTGTCTAAAGAAAGCTTTTAATATAAATTTCATGGACTTCGTATTGTAGTGGTTCCGCAGTCCGCCCGTCCGTCCGAGTTCTTTCAACTAACCTGTACACACTAAAAGTATATTAGTGATGTACCATTAGTAAACTTATAAAATATTCCTTAAACATGCTTCGCGAACTGTTTCATGAAAGTACACAATTAGGCATCATAAAATACATTTAGCACAGCACTTTTTTTTTTCCAAGGGCAGACACGCGAAAGGTTTTTACACCATTGCGCGAGGCAAATCGAACAAAAAAAATGCAACACCTTTTTTTTATTTGGTTCGCGCGTCGGCAAAAAACCTTTTAAAGACACCGAAAACTTCAGAAACGCAGGACGTGACACGTCTCGGGCGTTTTATTATATCACTCCGAAGCCAATTAGACTGAAGAATTGACCGGTAAGAACGCATAAAAACAAATCACGAAACAGTAAAAAAAAGTGAAGGAAGCGAGTCAGCGTGGCGTTTGATTCTTGAGGTCTCAACGACTTTGAATATTATCAACCCAGGGTGTGACGATCAAGTCCTGAGCGTTTTCAAACACCGATTCTCAACCAAGATAAGATTGGGGTATATTCACCGATCAGAACCAGGGAGAAGCGTGACCAGCACAATTTGGCGCGTCCTGCGTTTCCTCAGCTCTCGCTGTCTCTATATTCTAACAGTCCAGATAATGCGGCTACATCGAGTTTGAACCTATCATAACTTGAGTTTTCCGGGGTCATGAGACGTTTTAGAGATTTCTAGTGGTAACAATTCCGCTTAGCTCACGTATGCCACGCGACACTGAAAAAACGTCTGTCCTATGTTGGCAGGTGTGCCCCTCTATTGGTCGAGAGAAAAATAAACGGAAAAGAATTCCTGAAGATAACATTGATTTGGCTCGTTATAAAAGAAAAAAAGAAGAAGCTTGTTACAATGTTTTTTTAACAAAAAAAGCTGCGTTTTTTTAATCGAATAGGGCAGCGCTATCTCTTGCTTCAACACCGCAAAGAGAGTCGTCGTGGCTGTGAATGGTGCAGCGTCATTACACTTTAACCGCTACGAGCATACCCATAAATGGAACAGCTCCCGTAGTGTATAAGTTGCTGGTGAAAAAAGCAAATGGCGGTTCATCTGACAAAAAAAAAAAGTCCATTGAGAAATGTGTGAAGATAGAGAGAATGACATAAATACTAGAACTTGGTTAGAGTTATAATTTATAATAAACATTATACTATAATAGTTTCTTACATCTGACGAAAACACCGCTCTGCTTGCACGCGTTATGAGGATGATAAATTCTTCCCAGGTGTTACTATTTTGTTTGACTATTGTAGTTTCCTGCACTACACCGACGTATAGTCTACAATCAGGCTTGAGATAGTCCAGTTATGACGCATGAAATAGCTTATCCATCACGCATGCGCACAAGCCTCATTACACCGCATGATTTCCTCAGTTTGATCGCGTACGTCATTCCCATCAATACCGCTCTCTTCAATTCTCAGGAGTCCATACTTCTGATACACGTGGAAAAATATAATTTCGTTCTGGCACTTACTTACAATGAGGGTGGTTATTCGGTTAGAGTATGATGATCCTGTCAAGTGTTTTTAAATTGTAAAACTTTTTCGCACATTCGACGATATCCGAGTCTGCAAGTGCTCATCCAAGCAGGATACTTATCAGTCAAGTATTAAGCAAAAGGGCTGTTTTCTAGGACGCTTTAATTTCAATAATTACTCTCACATGGTCAGCTGTAGCAGTTATCAAGGCCTTTTATGGGGGTTTTCGTACATTACTAGTCGCCGTCATTTCGTTTTGCTTTACGGGATAGCCTCGCTTAAAAATTCACTAAGTATGGCCTGATTGTACTCTCCCCCCCGGTACTGATAAGTAAGCGGGGTACGCAAACTGAGAAGTTAAACGTTGAGGGTGACAGACTGCGACAACGCTGAAATACATACATATCTACATTTTAATGTTCGCATTCTTTCTCCAGGATTATCAAATTCGACCTCGAAGGTCGCCGAATATAGCAAATATTTAATTTACAACCAGATTTGATCATGTACGTCTCAACACTTCTCCGAACATAACGCGACGTTTATATTCAGGAAGGCTGGGTGTTTTTCTTTGTTTGTTTGGAAACTCGTTTTTGATAGTTTGCAACAAACATCTCACGTGATTGTTTCTTAGTTGGGCGCGGCGTTCGAATGTTGCGGAATCACGCAGCTTGTGGTTCCCATAAAACAACAGGGAAAAAAAAAAAAAGACTTACCGTACAGCTAGCCATACAAAAGACAAGACACTCTATTCGTCGTGACGTTGAGGGGAAAAGAAAGTTTGGCGACTCACTCATGCGCTGCGCGAAGTAGTTCTCACGGGATTGGGTTGTCGAAGCAAGAAGCCACGCCTTTTTGGCGTTCGAAATGTGTCCACACTCCTAAAATAACACAAGGCTAATCTAAGATGCGTCTACGTATCGCTTGATTCAACGCACGAAGGGAAAAATGGTAACGTCGCACGAGAAGCCGGACTTGATTTACTACTGTTCTTCAGGTGAATACGAGTATGAAAAATAATGATAATGAATAATGATAATAATTATAAAAAATTATCGATGCATGTGGGTATTTATCTATGAAGCAAGCAACATAGCTAACAGACAATCCTCAATGTCGGCTGAACACGCAATAATAATAATAATCGTAAACTAATACGCCCAAGAGAAAAAAAAACAAAAAAAAACAGAAGGAAAATGGTGGGGAGAAGCTCCAGCTATTAAATAAGCTACGATTCAGAGAAACGACATGTCAGCCATTCGGTTTGCTAAAGAAAAAAATTGTTACTTTCTATTTGAAGCTTTATTTCGGATCGGAGAAAAGCTTTTTTCGTCTCGCAGAAATGTGTAAAACAGTCAGGGACAGAGGAGAACAAACATCGTCTGAGTTTCCTTACACCGCATGTGAAGCTCAGGAAGTCACACTTTTTTTTTTTTTTTCGTATCGTAGCAATCGCCAATAGACCCTTTTCGAAATTTACTCTTGCTACTTCGATAACTGTCATCATCGAAGTATATATGATTTATCCGCGGAGAAGGGGCGGGGGGTGCCTGATGAAGGAAGAAGCCGAAGACATGCACAGATGTCCGAAGCCTGCACATCCCAGACGCTGTTCTGCAATTTTTGTTGCTCGATGTCAGCTTGTGCGCTCTAAGGAGTTGAGAGTGTTGTGCTATGTTCACGTTACAGACGCAACGCGCCTGCCTTTCACAACATTCTCGAACCAAAGCGCAAGCAAGAAAACGAGTTCGTTCAGACCACGATTGGTTTTAGTCTGAACGAAATCGTTCCGCTTCTTGTACTCACGTTTGCGCGTGTCATGAAAAATTGGCGCGTTGCGTCCGTAGTAGGAACATAGCATTACGGGAATCCTTAAAACGTTCGCCATCGGCACGCCCCAGACAGCCCCTAACAAACAAATGGTTCTGTCAGTCAGTGAATACCTACCAACGAAACACAAACGCTGCGTCGGCGTTTTTTCGGACTCACGCGTAATAAATTTGTTGACAAGCACTTGGCCCACGAGACCCTTCATACGGTGATTTTCATCGAAAATTTTGCCCTATAAACGTCTCGCACAGAGGGACATTTTTCTTCACCTTCGGAACGAAAACAAATTTATCAAAAGAAAATAACCGCCAATTTCATACGTTTGCCTTGAACGATTAGATACTAGACGCTCACTGCCCTTAGCATAAAAACATTTGGCATCTCATGGTCTACAAGATGTCGATTCATTACGAGCTCGCCTGCAGTCGATCCCTGCTTATAAAACGGTTGGACTGCTAATTGAGCCACTAGATGACACTGAATTCCTGAAAGGGTCTATTGGGAAAGAGCGAAGAATACCGCCACTTTCGTACGTCTGCCGTTCACGAATAGGTACTGGATTTTCACCACCAGTAGCAGACAAACATTTAGACTGATATTTGAGCCGCCAGATGGCACTGATTTACTGAAAAGGGTCCATTGCGCCAGCTCTGCACGGAGCACCATACTGGTGGCACACGCGAGCCAATCAGAAAATGGCGTGTCGATTGCTCTAAACGTGGCTTATCATAACGGATCAATAAGACCAATCATAGCGCAGTAAGGCAGTCACTAAAGCGAAGTACGTCACAAGAATAACAGTTACTCATGTTAGTAGAAGTTTGCAAATACCGATTCACATTGATTAGTGCAGTGTCTTCTGATGTTTAAGAGTGTTATGAAAACCGGTTGTTGTGGCTTTTCCTCTCATCGGGAAGTTTATGAATGACGCAGTGCTATTGAAATCAAATCGGTATTCGCACGTCCCCTGCATATTAAACAAGACAAAAAAAAATAATATGTGGCTCACGCATGCAAACACAATGTTGATGAAACACAACACAGTCGCACTAAAGTATATTCGGCATCTTTTGCCGGTTTGGTGCGCAGAGAACACACAGACGCAATTTCGTACGCTTTCAGACAAGACGGCATCTGAAGCTATATGTATGTATAACAAAACCCTTGATTTCTGCAAGCTTCAATCAGCTTCTTGCGACGAGAAGCGGGCGATATTTCAAAAGTTTAAAAAGTCACAGCGTCACGAACCACCAACCATTCACGATGACGTCACCACAATGTGCGCACTCGTAGCTGCCGAATCCTCAAAGTGCACGCCCCCACAACGCCGACCATTCCGTGGCGGCGGAAGTGACGTTGCAAAACGTGATAACTAGGCGCAGTTCCGGGCAGCTGGTTAACGGGGCTTGCCCTTGTCGGTGATCTTGTCCGGTTTGTCTCCGATTTCTTGTTTCGCCTTCTCTTCCGCCATCTTGGCCCTGTGTTCCAGCATGCCTTCGATGATCTTTCTGGACAGGAACCGGAAGATGATGAACCACGCCTGGGCCACCTCGCGGTTGAATCTGTCCTGAAGGGCGTCTTCCAGGCCAAACTTGAGTGCGTGCCATAGTTTCTGTAAGGTTACAAGTAAAAATATAAAAAAAGACATTTAAGTTTCAATAATGTTTTCTGTCCAGGTTTTATAATTATAATCAGCATAATGGTCACATCATTTTTGTTTGTGCAAGGACTGCTATACAAGAAGTAAAACACGTTTATTGTCTTTTTTTAATTTTTTAATATATGACTATTTGCAACTCGAGGACCCCGCTCGCCCTTTCGCGGAAGAACGAAGAACCATGGAAGCGGGGGCGGCGGCGGAGACGGTGGCAGGGACTACCGGCATCGGTGCTGCTTTCACCGCATTGTTCCGATCGGCATGTTCGTGTATCATACAAATTTAACGGAACTTGTACAAATCAACATGCTCAATTTCTTAACACCGTCAACGTCTCCGTCACCTGTATGATCTGCTCCTGCCCTGACCACTTCGTATTAATTTTACCGCACTGACCAGCGTCAGCGAGCAGGCGCACGGGAAATCCAGGAGAATCTATCCCCGCCTTTTCCGCCGTCTTAGCACTACTGCCCCGCCAACTCTAGGGCGTTGGAGTTGCGAATGTCTTCCAGTAATGAGGCATGATAGAAATAAAAAAATAAGAACAAAATCCGTATAATTAACAACGAATAGTTCCTTTAAAACAACCCAGTAAGCGCGACCGCAGTCGACGCAAGGATCCAATAGAGCCAATCAGGCAGCCCCAAAAGTGCATCGTCATGACGCTCGTCGTCTTTGCGCTTTTCCTGTCTCCGGCTAAGCAAATTACGCGCAGTGATTGGCTTAGCAGTCACCTGCTGAGCCAATCACGCGTAGTAAACGGATAAAGACGACAAGCGTCGTGACGAAGCACTTTTGGTGCTGCCTGATTGGATCCGTCCAATCGTAATATCGGCTGGTGTCGAACTTGGTGTAAAAGGGACAGTAGCCTTATGCGGAGTGCAAGGTCGTCTGCTTCTTTTGCAGGGGGGTTGCGGTGACGTAAGAAAGACGCCGAGCTGTGATTGGCTCTGATTGAAGAATGGGGGGTTAGACATCAAAGCAAGCTGCCTTGAGGTCTACCCACTATCCTTCATTCAGAACCAGTCAGAGATCGGCGTCTTTCTTACGTCACCGCAACCCCCCTGCAAAAGAAGCAGACGAACTTGCACTCCATATTGATTATAAACAGAAGGATTGGGGCTGGAGCAAAGTCACCAGTGTCGAATTAATTATGGTAAAAGGACGATAGTGACTGCCTATACTAAATCTACTAAATCCTTAACCGTAATTGCTCATCCCACAGAGAAGCGTTTGCTTACGTTTTCTTACGTTATGTTATGAGTAACCGGAATATCCGTGCTTCGTATGTCGGGTACAAAGCTATTCCCCGATTTGTTTCCGCGCTTTATACGAAGCACTGATGTCCCGATGACTTTCGACGTAAGCAGGCGTAAGCACCTGAAACGTAACACAACGTAAGAAAACGACACTATGCTAACGGGCCTTAATCGTTAAGCTTGGATAGTTTCCCGGCATCATTAACATCTATGAAAATAATTAGGGAACCCAGTGGAAGTTCTTTCCGCTTACGTTGATGCCCTAACGAAAATGAGTTACGCTTTAACCCCTCCTTCGCTTATTAGGGGCTCAAGGGCAAGTGCCGTTTTGTACAACCTTAGACTTGCTCGTTTGTTTGGCTTCAACATGCCTATCACGCAACTTCGGACCCTGATAATTTAGGCGTCAGAAGATTTATCATAGTCACAACTGTAGACGCATCTGAAATCATATATGCTATGCAGGGAGCAAGTAGGACCCTAACCAGTCCTAGGGCGGTTGGCAACGTTGTGCAGCTCTGACAGTTCGTTTCAAGTTGCAACACGAAAGATGCAACGAAGACTCCAGCCAAAAAAAAAAACAAACCATTCACTGAATGCCCATGGCGCCAAGGTACACTGGACCTTAGGCACGTCCTTTTGTTTCTTTGAAGCCAGTTTTCACGAAACGACTCTTATGAATGCTCCTCCCATTTTGTTTTGTGTGTGTGACGTAAGAATAAAGACGTGTTCCAATGAATGAGGTGTAGTGACGACATTCCTTCCTGAGAATTCGGGCGTGGGATTTTCCTGGCGGTCGTTATGTTGAGATACACAAATTCAAAACTCCAGAAAAGGCGTCGTCACCCAGCGGAAAACTCGCGAAGGAGAGAAGGGAGCAGCTGCCACCCATCTCGCTGTGCAGCAAAAACTAGCGCTGCCTGGCGGCCAAAATGTGAAATAGAGGAAAGGGAATAAAATGCATGCCATTTGATTGATGTTGATGAATGAAAGGCAGAGAGGTTGGCCCGAACCACTGTTTTAGGCGGCTACTCTGCACTGAAGCAAGCGCGAGCTGCTATACTCTACTTAGGACTACATCTGAAAAAGTCCACACTAGGGCATCCGTAAGCCTTTTAGACCAATACGAGAGGAGAGCGTTTGAATTGTACATTGTCATGTGCATCGCACCCACACAAGCTCGCCGTACTGTAGTCGGTGGAGCAACCCTGCCGCGCCGCCTTTGAAGTGGCACCGCTGCTTTGCCACACAACCCAGAGAGGGCAGCACCTGCCCCGTCGGTTTCGCAGTGCCGTGTGGATCTCACCAACTGCTTTTTATCGCTTTGTTTCGCAACGTGCACAATGTAATTTACATGTGCACTACACAAGGGTGAGGAGATCACCTCCTATCGATAGTAGGGTGTTGTGATCAATCTTTTTACCTACTATAGACATCAAAATCATCGAAGCTATCCGCGATATCATTTCCACCCGCCAATTTCAAACCGCCGGGCTGCAGGGAACAGAATTTGTTTCCCGTAAGGAACTCCCCTAAAAAACCTAAAAAGGTACTGGATCAAAACTTATAATATACCTCTCACGGTCAGAAGTAAGTTAAACATGATCAACTCTATCTGCCAATGACGATCACATGATTGTATTTCAGACGGATGGCTGTATTTTTTGTTCTATATGTTCGATTCTGGTGTACGCTATAAAATCAGCTATCGAGGAGCGCGGTGATTCTCGGGATATCCGTCGCTCCCGCAACTTGCCCGCGGCGTCATCGGCCTCCCTATGGCCAAGCGTACCGTAGTTACGAGAGTTGATACTTGGTGGCGTCAGAGTTGGCAGAGTCGTGCGCGCTATGAAGACAACACGTAGTGCGTCATTGGCAGGGTATTTGCGCTTGGTAAGCTTTTTATTTGTACGTGAGACGTGAGTGCCCAATCACCCAGAACACAATAGGCCGATCTCGCCAGCCAGTTTGACTACGCCACCGCTGCCACAATGCATCGAGGGAACTTTAGTCTTTCTGCACGTGCAATAACCTTGCTGGATCTTTTGCGCTTGTGGAGCACGAAATGACACGAGCCCTCGCGCGTACGGCCGTCTGCCTCCCGTGAACTAAAGTTCTGGCGGCGTCACGCATGCACCGAACGCTTAGTGAGATCGGTTCATTTACAGCTCGAAATTCGTTTTCTTTCCACCTGAACACTACCCGTCAAGAACTGGCCGGTTTGAGTTTGCGCTCACTCTCTTCTGCGTGTTCCCATGTCGTTCTCTATGGATTAGACACGCGCATCAAATATAATCAAAGTCGCTGGTCGTCTAAGGCACACACTCAATATTAAAAATAGGAACAAATGTGATACCCAAGTTTGTGGCTTAAAAAAACAAAAAAACTGCAAATACGTTGATGAAAAAAAAAAGAAATACAGCAAAAAGTTGCACAGAGAACCGGAAGCAGTCTGTATGTTCTCTGAGTAATTCTCAACATGGCGTCGTATCGCGGGAGTCTCGGGCTGGACGGCTAAACGAAGCGGAATAAACGATGGCGGCGGACGACAGGCGTGGGACGTCTACCTCAGAACTGAAAAAATTGTAAGGGTGCAGGCGAGCTGGTGGAAGTTAACCATAGATTTTTCGTTTGTAATGTTTTGGGCCTATGTTTGGCTTAGTGTATTCCGGGTGGTATGTTGACATTGGTTGACTTGGTTGGTGGTGTGTTGACGCGGTGTGTATAAAAGTGCATACGATGGAATAAAATCCTTAGCTGTGTTTGAGACGTCGCCTCCTTGTGGCCTCTTTTCTTCTCGTCCCTTTTCCGAAATACCCCAGTCTTGGGTTAAACAAAACTATGGTTAACCTCAGAACTGTTGTTCGCTGTACCGAGCAAGCTGTCTAGCTTTGAAAGAGAAATCTTTTACCGACCAAAGCAATTAGGATTTATTCCGCGTGACACGTCCGATCACCAAGCTGATTTTCAGGAAGACGTCGCCGAGCCGTCGTCCCCTCTACTGGCTGAAGACATCAATCGCCTTACGAACAAGAATTGGTAAGAGCTCGAAATACGCGAAACGTCGAGCGCGTAGTGCATGACTTTTGCGTTTTTCGTGCGACGTGCGACGTTCGCGTTCTTCGTCTGTTTCGCACGGCAGGAAAAAAAAAAAAAAAAAAAAAAAAAGCTGGAAACTTGGTCGGATGCAGCCACGTGACTTCCGGTAACTCTCCCCTCCTCTACGTTTCTCCTTCCTCCCCAATCCAGTTTCGGTTTCGGTTTCGAGCAGTAGTTCTTTTTTGATTTATTAAAAAATAAACTTAACGCTGTAGCAAAATATGGATTGGGTAGTCTTCCGACACAATAATAAATCGCATGGCAAAAAAATAAAAACAACGTTTTGGGCTGAGCCAGTGTCTTTTTAAGACCTTTCTTTTTCGCGCCTAAACGCCCTAGCAAACATTTTTTTTTTTGTTTTATTTTTTGGCAATGACCTTTATTTTATCTCAACCACTTCGAGATGCCAAGACGCGAGCTTTTGACCTTAGAAAATCCTTTCACTGTACGAGTGCTCGCGCGAAGTAATTTGCAGATGTAGTGGGCTCTCCTTTGCCTTTGCTGGCTGAGCACACTACTACAAAACGGCCGTTTACGCACGTGATATATTGTTGGCTGAACTAGACATACCGCGCAATGGCGGACAGCCGACGCATTGGTATGATGATGGAGCAAAAGTTTGTAGACTATGAAATATTTACATTGTGATTACGAATTCAGTGTCCGTTGTCATCCAGATATTTCTGGAGAAACGAATAGTCCACTTCAAAAGCTTGTTCCCAGGCAGCACACCGTATTGCGCCAATATTGGCGTCGGATAGGAGAAATCAGGCCAATGCATTCTGATACTGCCGATATTGGCGTTGGATCGTAAAGATTCGGCCAGTATTACTGTGAGGTCGCCGATGTCGGCGGAATATCACTTGGGTCGGCCAACGCCACGCTGATATACAGTATTCAGCGCCGTTTTCCGGTAATTTGTCGGGTCTGAACCGGCTATATCGGGCGTTATTAAGAATTCTTGACCGTTTCTAAACCAATACCAACAATTCGTCGGGTATAAACCGGCTATATTGGCCGGTATTAGGGATTCTTGACCGTTTCTAAAACGATACTGAATCGGTCAATCACGCCGGCCATTCGCGGCGGCCGCCGCTGTTGCGCACGGGCCACGCCGAGGGCGCGCCGGGCAATCAACGGCTGGAACTGGGTTTTTCTGTAGAAACAAACGGAAAAAAACTATTTTTTTAGTAACTTTTATAAGAGATTAGTACAAAACGGGGGGCGCGTGATTGTTTTCTAAAATATTTAGTTTACAAGGTTTGCGGCACAATTAATATTGTTTTATACAACCACGTCTCAGCGGTGATTTCAAGTAGCGCGTCCGGACCTAGGCGCATCCTAACTTCGGCAGTAATTCGCGGCGCGTCCGTTTGGGAGTCGGGGGTGGCACCCTTGAAGCCCCACCGTATCTGTTTGCGAGCCAAAATGGTCGAATAAAGCCAAGGTAGAAGTTACGTGCAGTTCCTCGAGTGGCCGGTGCGGTAGAAATGGCGGCGTTACGATCTCTATTAGCTCGGTTCTCGAGTACGGATCGGTGCCAATTTTTCAGAGCAGCCTGGCAGTTTCCCAACTGATCGGTTCTGGTAGCGTTGGCTTGGTCCACGTCCGCTGACACCGCAGTGGCCGCGGCCATGTTAACCGATATTCGCTCATGTCTGCCCAGAAATCGAATGATTTCGCCGACTCTGGCCCATTTTTAGAACGATCGCTACCAGACATTGGCCCAATATTGGGCCGTGGAGCAAAACATGAAACTGGGCCAATATTTGAGCAATATTTCCCCGACGCTGGCCCAGTGTCGGCGTGCTGCCCGGGTTCAAGTTGTCTCGTCTGCACAGCGAAATAGCTTTAGAAATCTGTACAGCGAAAGTCGGACATATGACAGCGACGCTTTCCCTTATAATGAAGCGACTTGGCACTGTATGGGCTCTAGGAACATGAGGGAGATGACTACGCGACGACGATCTATAGATGAGAGGCTTATGGCAAGGTTACTTTGAGCAGACAGTCTTTTGGTTTGCGTGCTCGATGCCATCCGCTGAGCCAGATCCACGAATCGTTTGCAGGTCTCGAGCGTGTTGTCTACTGTACTTTGTTGTTTATCTGTTTTCTTTTTCTGGCAAGTGCGGGTTTGTCGACGTGAACTTACGTCGAACATGTCTTCGTGGACGTTGAAGCGCGCGTGTTTGCGTCCCAGTTCGTAGAGGATGTCGGCGAGGACCCGACTGTCGTCGAGGTTCTCGACGGCGGCCTCGAGCCCCTGCATGACGAGTAGGGCGTGCCGCTGCAGTCCTTCCATGTCCCAGTCGTAGGTCCCGTCGTCCCTCAGGGTCATAAACTTGCGGAACAGGCGGCACAGCTCCGGGTACCGTGTCAACAGCCTGAAATGTTTAGAGAAAAGGCACGAGAAAAATGCATCAAGGACATTAGACATCCGGAAATACCACGTGAAGGATAGCTAGAGGATAACTTGGGAAATTAAAAGTATGATCACGTGAAAGAAATGTATCAAGGACTATCAGGGGAATTCAGGAAGACCGTCTGAAAGATGTATTAAGGACACCGGGGACATTCACTAAGATTACGCGAAAGAGGTGAATTAAGAGAAGCCCGGGACATTCAGAAAGATCACATTCAATGACAACTTGAGACATTCAGAATCTCCAAGTAAAATATGTATACGTCAAAGGCAACCTGTGAAGTTAAGAAAGGTTACAGGGACTTGTCGCACCAAGGACAACCCAGGACATCCATCCAGGTGATCATATAAAAGACGGATCACGGACAACCTGCGACATTCGAAATGACCAAGTGAAAAATGATTCAAGGACAACCTGGAACGTTCGAAAAGATTACGTGAAAGAAATCCGCGAAAAAAAAAAAAAAAAAAACCCGGGACATCAAGAAATGCCATACGAAGCACTCTTCAAGAACAACCTGGAAAACCCGAAAAATCTTGTGAACGAGCAGCGCCTTAATCATAAAGTTCACGTTAAATATGATTCAAGGACAACTCGGGACATCGATAAAGGCCACGTGAAAGACATTAACGAAGAACCCACTACACATGAATCGATAGAAAAAGCCAACTCCGGGCGCTGAACCAACGATTTGAGACGTCCGCAAGGCATGCAACAAAGATATTCAACAGGCGGTTGTTCCGGCTAAAAAAACGGTATAACAAGTTAGAAAAGAGAAATCTATACTGGCAGTGTCCTCTCATGGGCAGGCTCAGTCAAGAGACGTCCGGACGTCGGTTTTCGTTTCCCGCCGTCCATGTCCCTCTCATTTGTTCTTTTTTTCCAGTGATAGGGTTACGGTTGCCCTTAGAAACATATGGTATAATGGTTGTGTCTTGTGCATGTTTTTGTTATAAGACTTAAAATGAATTTTCGCTTGGAATGTTTTTACTTTACACGAGGCTACTGGCACTAGTGGGACCCAAGTGTAGTCGCACGCGACGCTACTGACCAGGAAACTTCTTTGTTGCGGTGCAATTTCAAGAGTAAAACCGAGCGTTTCTTTAATCTCTCCTTCGCAAAACTTGATGTAACATGGGAGATCGCAGTATCCCCCAGTGAAAATATTTGAATGCGGCTCATAGATTGGACCCGAGCATTTTATGAACACTCAATTCGGGATCGGGATAGTCAACAGCTCGACAAGCATTCGGGTAGTGGCCCGTGTCCAATCGCTGCAATGACGACAATAGCCGAACCATAACAATGTCTGGAGCTCAGCGTGTGTCCTGTGCTTTGACAACCTTGGCTATTATCAACATTGGTGGCATATAATCGGCTTGATATCTCGTAGCCGCTTGTTTTGGCTTCGAATTGAGGGGGTGAACGCTGGTAGTTTTGCGTTAATTTTTTTCTGCAACTTTTATTGCGTTTGGTGAAAAACGAACGCGTGTTTCACAGGTCATTAGGGAGTTTTAGTAGATCGTATTCAAAGGCCCGCTACCGGTACGGGCGCGCGCTACAAAGCATGCATCGAAGTGGCAGCGCGAGCTCCCGCTACCGATAGCGTGGCCTGAAAACACGGTCTACTAAAACTCTCTATTAAAGTGAAAAATTCGTTCCAAGCGGAATTTGAACAAAGTATAAAAATCGTTGCATCGCCCCTTTAATTATTGGCAGACATAGACCACACCATGACATAGACGAACATTTTTTTTTCGAAGTTTACAGCCTATGCTCAGAACGAGCTCACATTAATAGGCTGCTAAGACCGACAATCTTGATGGTGCGGAACGCACGTTGCAAAAGAACTGTGGAAGCTCGCCGTCAGCACGCGCTCAGCAGTCGCGCACACAGCTATGGCCGCCAGTGAAAGCTCCCTATTAGCGATGTGCGCGGCCAAAAGCGTCGCTGTGGTCAGCTTTCTACGATTGGCCAAACCATGGGCATATGAGCACTGTCAGATTGTCAACTTTGACGGTGTTAGTTTCGGATTGCGATGGCTCCTAGCTTCTACTGTGCTTTTTGAACACACCATCGAACTCGTCGTCCCACCCGATGGTAAGTAGCCAGAATAACAACTGGTGACGTCACGGCGAGGCGAATCCCAGTCGTGGCGTCACGGAGGGAAACCATAAGAGGGCGCCACTGAAACATCTCGGCGCTAATACCCCGTTCACCCCTCAGCTGCAACTGTAGCCAACGCAACAACTACGAGAGCACAAAGTCACGACTTTGAAACATTCTTCCGCAATACGAGTGCTCGCACAAGATGTCTGAAAGCTAAGAGTTAGGGTTAGCTCGCGTTTGTAACTTTGACTGCAGTCGCAGTTTTTAACGGTGAGCGGATTATAGTGTATGCCAGCACTGTGCTAGATAAGCGAGACTCCACTGACGTCTCCGTTGTAGTGCGGCAAAAGACCATTTGCTATCTCCTCCAAGTGCCCCGGCCCGCGCTAAAAGAAACATGGGACCGGTGTTCCTTCAGCTCCTTAACGGTCGGTCATTTCGACCCTATCCTTGGTTACACAGCTTTGGAGCGTAACTCGGAGTCATTCTGAACAAGCGCCTGATATACCCCCAATGACCTGTCATATCGCTTTTAAATGTCTGCACAATGTCAGCGTTTTTGATACTGTGCATGCTGTCCACCCTTCAACCTGGATCGGCTGCAGAAATCTCTTATATTATTATCATACTGATATTAAGTTAGAAACGCTGAAAATGCTATAAACAGCCCCGCGGACTACGAGCTAAATCCTTGTTTTTGGTGCTGTGAATTATCGGCTTTTTAAGCAATTCCTGCTCAAACAACAATCACGAGAATGATAATACTGTAAGAGATTTCTGCAGCTCAGGCCAGGTTGAAAGGTGGATCGCATGCGCAGTATAAAAATGCTGACATTGACGAGCAATCTTAAAAGTGATATGACAGGTCCTTGGGGTATATCGGGCGCTTGTTCAGGGTGACTCCAAATTACGTTCTTAAATTGTGTAACCATGGAGTTGGTCGATAATTAGCGATCCCTAGGGAGCTGAAGGAACACCGTTCCCATGATTCCTCGAGTAAGGGCCGGGGCGCTTAGGAATATAGCAAATGGTATATTTGGCCGGTGTAGTTTTGTATTGGCGACGTGAGCGATCGAAAGCGTCGCTGTGGTCGGCATGCCACGATTGGCCGAATGCTGGCAATGACGTCAGCAAAGGATTTCTCATCGACGGAAATAAGAGGAATGTAAGAACTTAAACTTTGAGGGTGTCGGCAGTGTTGCTTTGAGAGCGCTATGATTTCAGGCTTCCACCATGCCCATTACAATCACCATCGAACTTGTTGTTCACAAGGTAATGACGTCACGAAAGGTAACCGAACAGGGGCGCCACCGAAACATCTCGCCGCTAATACGTTTCCGCTCTCCTTTTTCCTACTTTTTCCTTCCTGCGCAGTGGATCCGGCGTAATCCACTTTCAGTCGTAGGGGGAGGCTGTCAGTGGTGTTACGACGCTCCGGCGTGATCCGCCTTCAGTCGAGACGCGGCTGTTCGTTGTAGGGTGATGGTGCCCGCGAGCCTAGAGCAAACCTTACTTATTTGACGAGCCGAAGGGGCCAAGGCATATCATCTTCGCTTCTGATCTAATTAGCGTGTGGCATTAGCCGATCAGAAGGCCGACCAACCAATCACGAAGCGAGAAGCGCGTGAACACGATAAAGTCGCGCCCTGCGTTCCGGCAGCGATCTCATAGATTGTGGATGGGTAATACGATATTCAGTGGTCGCGACAGCCGGCGTTCCTTTAAAGAGATACTACAACGAAGTTTCGGCACTTATTTCTTGATCTATTCGTGTTCAAGGGACCAGTATCACATCAGACTCACCAAATCTCTTATTGCAAAAGGCACGAAAAGGAATTTTAAAACGAATTATACAACTAGGAAAGAGCACCTGGTGGATGTCGCTAACGCCTCGTTTGTAATACCCGTCTAGGAACCTTGACAGGTAGGGACGATAACCGTCTCGTCTCCGGCCGTCACGAGAGAAGAGGGGAAGGTGGATCTCCCTACTTCCCTAGACTCTTTCTTGTGTCCCAGACGTTGCTATTGTCCCTCGACAAGATTATAAAAGATTAACCCGCCACTCCAAATTCGTACAAAAGCAGCTTTATGGTTAATTGCGGTGGCGCGATCCCTGGCGTGCTTTGGCCACTTCGGTGGCTGGGACGGCTAGGACATCAGCCTCACCGCAGTTTTCTTCGTTCCGAGAAAATCTACGTCATGATTGCGGCGCATGTCACGTGCTCTCCGCTGGCTGCTCTCCGAGCGCTTGCCCGGACTGGGTCGTTTATAACAAAAAATGCCGCCTTGAGGCTCAAAATACAAGCGTGCGATTGTCATTTACGGATATTGAACACGACAGGATGTTTCAAATTTCCTTGAAGTATCCCTTTAAGTTACAAGTGAGTATCCGAGGAGAGAAGTTTGGGTGTCGCCGCTTGGTGGAATGTTTCACAACCCAGAGTAAGGATACTTTATCTTCCTCTGCTGCTGCAAGCACGTCCAATGCCGAGCTTATATCCCCTATAATAACTAAGACAAAATCGCGTGAGTAGCACGTGCACTATACCGAGAGTGAGGAAAACAGAAACGCCCCTAACGTGCTTTTCACCGCAAATAACAGTGTATATTGGCTAATATTCTCACCGTGAGGCAAAGCCAGCTTCCCAGAAACAAAACTTTAGTCATATAAAACAGGATTGTTCAAACTGCGGCCCACATAAAAAGTCTTGCGAAATCCTTCCAAAGAAGCCGGGCCCGCGGCTCGCCGCTTTCATTAAACTCGCTGCTATATCAACGCTAAAAAACGTGCGCAAAAAAAAAAAAAAGGCGTCACGATTTGTTTTGAATGCACAAAAGAAGCCACCAAAAAG